CTTTTGGTATCATTAGGTTTGGGGAATGATTCTCTATCATTCCAAAAGTTTTTTTTTTTTTTTTTTTTTTTTTGAAAATTTTTCAACCCTGAGAGGGGGTTCAGGATCAGGGGTCTCGACCCTCAAAGGGTTAAAAGGCATCTCATCTCTCTAATGTAATCCAGACAGTAATTTGCTAATCAAACAATGCCTGTCCTCATCTATTTATGTCCCTATTCTTCCTCCAGCCTTCTTTCAACTCCCATATATAATTCGTAACACAAACAGTCCCATTTGAATTGTTTCGTAATTTAAGTAACTTGCTGTAATTTCACTATCTGTATTCAACCATTACATAAAACTGAAGATTAGTAAGTAAGTAAGTTTATTCAGGTATACACAAATACAGTTACATAGAATTATCATACATAGCAGCATATTTGTAGAGAACCTAGGATAACCCAAAAAAGTCAGACAGAGTGACTTATTTCCATTGGGGTCCTTTTACCTTATTATTATAATATAAAGGTTATATTTTCTTATTATTCTATAATGAAGATAACATCTTATTATCATACTAAAAAGACTATCTACTACACGAGGGTCATTACAAGGAATAAGGTAAAATTTACACGTATGTTAGCTAAAAAATAGAAAATCATTCCCCTCCCTTTCTGTAGCTACATTCATCAGACACCTTTTGGCACTCTTCTTGAACTGGTTCATGCTATGACTGGCTTTGACACGTGCGGGTAGTCTGTTCCATTCCTTTATTGCTGTACAATAAAAGGTGTTTGAAGCCTGGCCACTGACTGTGGGTACTACAAAGTTGTGCTCCCTCCCCCTAGTACTATGATTGCTTTGGTTCCCAACCTTGACAAAATTGAGAAGATATTCTGGACACTGTTTGTGAGCAGTTTTATAAACATGATTTAGCTTCAGTTGTTTTACTCTGTCTTCAACATTCAGCATATCCAACTGCTGTAATTCATCCTGGCCTACATGTTCTCTTGGTCCCAGCCCCAGGATGAATCTTACAATTTTGTTCTGGGTGATTTGCAGTCTATCCTTCAGTTTTTTTGTCAAGGCAGAGTACCATGAAGAGCAAGCATAATCCATATGGCATTGTATAAGGGCTAGACAAGGGTCCTGCGAGCCTCAGTAGGTAGACACTGTGCTTGTCTATACAGGAGCTTCAGTCTGGCATTCGCTTTCTTTACTACACTGTTCCCTATCAATTCTCCTGACATGCATGGGTCAAAGGGGATTCCCAGATGTTTTACTGATGAAACCAAACTGATGGGCTCCCCATTACACTGGACATTAAAATTATTTACCCTTCTCAGTTTATGTTTCGTGCCATAGAAAATGGCTTCAGTTTTCCCGAGGTGTAATGATAGTTTGTTGTCTACTAACCATTTGCTGCAGGACTCCAGTTCCAGTGTTAAAACATTAGCTATATCTTGTGGGTCTTTACCTGACACTAACAGAGCACTGTCATCTGCATACAGTAGGAGTTTGCACTTGACACTGATAGGCATGTCATTGACATAACATAAGAATAATAAGGAACTCCACATGCTATCGGCAGGGGTTCTGATTCCATTTTGTTGATTTTGACAATTTTGTCTCCTGTTGCTAAGGTAGGACTTAAACCAGTCTACAGAACCTATACCGATAGCTTGAAGTTTCTTACATAATATATTGTGGTTGACAGTATCGAAGGCCTTTTGCAGGTCTAAGGTTACCATACCTATGAGGTTTCCCTTTGACATTTCAGTTCTCAGGTAATCCATCAGATTAATTAGGGAATTGTCGGTTGAGTAAGATCTTCTAAAGCCCGATTGATAGCTATGGAGAATGTTGTTGTAATTTAGGTACTTAACTACTTGAGAGTACACTGCCCTCTCTAGAATTTTGGATATTATACTGAGTATACTAACAGGCCTATAGTTGCTTACATCAGACCTACTATTTTTCTTGAAGATAGGAGTAACTCTGGCCTCCTTGAACCCATCCACTACGGTATTAGTGGTGATTGATAGATTTATTATGTGAGCAATAGGGATTGACAGTTCAGAAGCACCATCTTTTAGGAACTTAGACGGGATGTTATCCGGGCCAGTGCTCTTAGTTGGGTTTAACCTGCTTAGTTCTTACTAGTTGACAACTGTTTGGGGTTACCCCTTTATTGGTATAGTATGTTTGAAACTTATCAGAGTCTGTGTTAAAGGCATTTGATGCAGCTGGTAGTTTACTTACTAGTGTTGATGCAACAGATGTGTAGAAGGAATTAAAGCAATTTGCCACCTTAGATGTTTCGTGGCATACCTCGTTATCGATAGTGAGTACTATGTTAAGACCTATCTACTGGCTTATGGCTATACCCCAACTGTTTTAGTTGTTGCCAGAGCTTTCTGGGGTTATGCTTATACTCTTCAATTTTTGAGCAATAGTCCTTTGCCTCTGCTCCTTTTATAAGTCTCTGCACTCTGTTCCTCACCGTTTGGAATTCATTTAGTGCTGCAATATCCTGTCTGTTTGCTTTAAATCTTTTTAGTAGCTGGTCTCTGAATTTCATATTATCTAATATCTCAGTAGTCATCCAGGGTTCAGTTCTTCGTTTAATCCTGACCTCTTTAACTGGTGCAATATTATCAAGGATGGTAGTGAACATTGTTTTGAATTTTTCCCAGGCATCGTTTACGTCCGTGCAACTTGTTATCTCTGCCCAGTCACAATTGTGTAGCCTATTTACCAGTGTTTCTTTCCTGTAGTTTCTAGTTGACCTCATTTTTATTGTCCTGTGTAGGCCTATCCTATCCCTAGTGATTTTCCTAGTGCAGTAAATGATGAAATGATCACTAAGACCTGTGGTAATGACGCCTGGCTGACTAATGTTCTCAGAGCGGTTACAGAGTATGTGGTCAATTAGGGTGGCTGAGAACTGTGTGATCTGGGTTGGTGTATTAATTAGTTGAGTGTAACTATTTAAACCTAGAATTTGCTTATACCTTTTGCATAGCCAGTTATTTTGCTGCTGAAAACAGATACTGAAGTCTCCCAGTATTATTGTCTCGCAATTGTTTTCAAGTCCGGACAAGACCCTGGAAAAGTCTTCTAAGAACTGGTCCTGGGTAGGAGGGCGGTAACTAGTTCCTACTAAGATGGGTTTGGTCTTGGGAAGCAGCACTTCAAACCATAGAATCTCCAGTTTTTTGTTATTTAAATCAGGTCTTGGGTTGTAAGGTAAGTCATTTGTAATGTAGGCACATACTCCACCACCCTTTCTGTTCCTATCTAACCGTTTTATAGTGTAACCTTCTATTTTGACCTCGTCGTCAGTCACCGTATCATCCAACCAGGATTCAGAGATGGTTATAACTGCCGCACTAATTTTGTTAGCTAGAATCCTAATCTCTGCCAATTTAGGAAGAAGTGATCTTGCGTTGACATGAATAAAGTGAAGGCCTGTTTTCATAAAACAATTATAATCATCAATATATGGCAATGGGTCATATGTATTAAAATTAGGTAAATAAATGTCATCATTGCTAAAGGGTAACTGTGCCAAAGTGCATTTGTTACACACAAAGTGAATTCTGGCACCGTTACAATAATTGTACATACATCCATCGTGCACCCACCCCTTATACATTTTACATAAGGTGCCTTTTCTATTTTCCATGCATACTTTAGTACAGTGTATGCACCTGTTTGGTAGTGTTTGAGATAATAATGGCTGTATTGTCTCACATTGACCTATGTATGCATTACATATGGAGTTAAGGTTATCATTCCTAGCTACTAGACCATCATTATCACCGTCATTTATCTGTCTGTTTTGCCTCTGCACAATAGTTTGAGGTCCTGGATTAATTTGGATATCGCCACTTAAGAGCGCTACAATAAGAGCTGTGTGCCACTGTTTTTGTTTGGGTATGCGGTGTTGCCATACCTTGCGGCGACAGTGACATTTACGTTTCTGGTAGGATGGCAACTGTTGGGCTTTTACTATCCAGGATGCTGTTACTCCAGTCACCTTTTCCAGCCCCCATGACTGATTTCTTTCTTTATGAAATTGAAGGAGAAAGATAAATAGTATAATAATGGCAGCCTGTACCCCCCTAATGCCTGCCATTTTCACTCTTCGCTCTTTTACTCATATACAATACCAGTTTAAAAATGTACATGCAATAAACGACTCTGTCAATATCTACCTTTCTTGTTGAACATATGATTGTATTTTAACTACACTAGAAGTTCTACACAATGTTAATTCTTAGTAAGTTTATTTAGGTACAGGTGCACTTAAGTACAATTATCAAACATTGCATAATTAGTCACCTTCGTCTGTGACTATTTAACTCGTGTATCTACATCATCTGTATGCCCAAAGAAGTAATGCATTATTATTATCATTGGAAAGCTATACTGCCCCACAATGATTAAATTAATATGCTAAGACTAGAATTAAGTAATAAGTTTGTTTTAGAATTAATTTGCTTGAAATGGTTTGCATAATAAGTGGCTCTTTTAAAAGTACAATTCAAATTGTATCAGACTGTATTTGTATCAACACAGTAACCAAACAAACTGTAAACTCAGTCAGTGTAACTTGTGTGTGTTTCAATGAAATAAATGTTTTTATTTTCTTCTATTTCTTCCTCTTCTTCTTTCATATCCTCCTCCTGTTCTTTTCTGCTTCTTCCTCTTTTTTTCTCCCAAAAACCTTCTGATAAATGTTTACTAAAGTTACAATATATCTAAGAGGCTTCAGATTCTCCAAGAATGCTATTTGTCTTTTTTTTTTTTTTTTAATTCCTACTACACTGAGTAAAGACAGGCACAAATCTTCTTTGATAAACCACAAGGTGTCTCCAACTTACAAAACAATTGGATTCCCAGAGTTTCAGCTTACAAACAGACTCATTCATATATGAAGATCATGAAAACTCAGGTGTTCCTAAGTGAGGAATTCTACTTCACATTACCAGATCAATACTGTGACCAGACTTTACCTGCAGAGCCTCAGAGCCAGGGTTATAGTATGTTAGCTTGGCATTCACTTGTGCTACGAAGCCACGGATGGTCACCTGCGTTGACACCGACTTCAACTCCACTAACTGTACATCCTCAGCTGAAAATTGGTAATAAATTATCAGACAAGAAAATTATGTACTAAACTTTGCAAAAAATGCCTACATTTTATGCATAAAAGATGACTATATTTTCAAATTCTAAACTGGTAATTATTTATTATACAACTTTTTAATGCATTACATAAATGAGGAGTAACTAGTATTATGAAATTATTAAAATCAATGGAAGCACTAAACCAGTGGGAGTTATATAGCACCTGGAAAACTGAAATTAATCAGCTCTAATGCAAGAGACAGAGGGAATTACTAAGGTAATTAGGGGTTCTTAACCTTTTCACGATTACAGACCCCCAGTGGATTGTCCAATACGTACCCTTACCACCTTCACCACACTGTGGAAATCATCACCACTGTGTTATTATGTACCAGTATGACTTTAAAAGAAGTCAATAGAATTGGTTTTACTTTACATATGGACAGTTAGCAGCAGAACAGCTGATAGTTTATTCTAAAAACATTTTTTTAAAACTGTTCAGAGACAGAGTCCCATACCCCCATTATTTGGTTCCCATACCCTTGTTATTTGGTTCCCATACTGCAAATGGGCATGGATATCTCCAGTTAAACCTTGCCTTAGATCAAAATATCTTCAGTATCAAAGCATCTCTAACCCCCTCCCCTTGAAAAGTAGTACAGGTTGGCCATCACTAATCCGGCAATCAGTTATCCTGTTCCATCAGTAATCCAGCATTAATTTCAGCTAGCATAATTTCAAATTTCATCATTATACCGACTCAAATCATTATACTGACTCGGAAATTGTGCAGATGGCTGTAAATCCACAGCAGCAAGCCAGTGGAGGAGAAAGCAGTGGTGAAAATTAGGAAGATGTAGCAGAAAGTCTCTCTATTGATAGGTTAATTAAGTGCATTCTAACCTAACCACTCTGTAATTTGGCAAACTCACTAATCCGGCACACTACAGGTCCCAATGATGCTGGATTAGTGATGGCTGACCTGTGCAGTACCATGAAAGAAAACTTAATTTTACAGCTGAAGAAAACTGGTACTCGCACACATTACTGTACACATGACAGTGTTATGGGTTTGACAATCAACCTAAACTCACATCCCAGTGATACAATAATTTAAGATGCTGATCGCATCTACTTATAAAATGTACAGTACATAATTTGGGAAGTTGTACACTACTGAGACCCACCTTATTCTTACATCAAGAGCGATGCATGTGTATATAAGATCATCTCTTGGTTATGATAGATGACCACACTGCCAAATGTGTTGCATCTACTAATATTAATTTGTTTGTGGAAATAGCATTTGCAGAGTTACAGAAAACATTAAGAAATAAATGCTGAGAACCTCATTAATATAGTAAAATAATTAAAAGTTAGCAGTTACTGTTCATGTTCTGTGGCTGCCAACAGAATACGTATTTATAGCACAATACACACAGGCTATATTATCTGCATATTCTTCACCTGTACCAGATACACTAGTGAAGCCTGGTCTAATAGTATACCCCTACATATCCAAGCTAATCGGCTCTCAAAGAATTATGAAGTAACAGCCTAATTTAATATAATTTAACATGCACTAATATAATTTGTGAAAAATGTTCCTATTTTGCAATGTTATAATTATAAATTACTGCATTACTGGAGAAACAAAGTAATGATATGTTTACCTTAAGTTAATTAAACTTATGAACTTTAGTAACCAAGGACATTTTATTAAAAAGTAATAGCCAAGTTAGATTAATTTCCACTCATTTTTTTAATAAATTCATTAATACAGTGGGCCCCCGCTTAACGATCACCTCCCAATGCGACCAATTATGTAAGTGTATTTATGTAAGTGCGTTTGTACGTGTATGTTTGGGGGTCTGAAATGGGCTAATCTACTTCACAATATTCCTTATGGGAACAAATTCGGTCAGTACTGGCACCTGAACATACTTCTGGAATGAAAAATATCATTAACCGGGGGTCCACTGTATTAAGTACCAGTAAGCAGCCATAATTAAGGCTTCATTTAGCATTAGTGCAAAATGCTGAGTGTTCACTGGTTCCGAGTATATTAATGTTTTCACTTATTACCGCATGTTACATCCAATGAGGAGCCTTGCAAATACTGGGATCCAACTGAAATTAGTAAATCCCTACTAAAAATTTACATAACAGTAAAAATAGCAAATTTATGAAATATCTTAACATAAAAGGGCTCAACTCAAACTTATTAAAATTACATTAAGAATCAGTCAAATTAAGATTAAAGTTAAGACATTATCCTCACATGTGTAAGCTAAGGCTCGACTTAGTAAGGTGAGAGGGAGACAATATTCTGAAGTATGTGTGAATACATGCGCTTTTCTGTATCTCTAAGAAATTGAGCTAAATGTTTATATTAACGTAATACATATATGACATTTAATGAGCCTCAGGGTGATTATTATTGCATATTATTATTATTAATATGGCATCCTCAAGACTAATAAGACACTCTTAGTGATTTTAATGTGTACCTGCACACCAGCAGTGTGTAAGTTCATTTATGTACAGGAGCAACGTGGCAGATGTTACAAGTATATGGAATAGGAGGTAAGTTACTAAATGCTGTAAAGAGTTTTTATGAGGATAGTGAGGCTCAGGTTAGGGTGTGTAGAAGAGAGGGAGAATACTTCCCGGTAAAAGTAAGTCACAGACAGGGAAGTGTAATGTCACCATGGTTGTTCAATAAATTTATAGATGGGTTGTAAAAGAAGTAAATGCTAGGGTGTTTGGGAGAGGGGTGGGATTAAATTATGGGGGATCAAATACAAAATGGGAATTTTTGCTGATGATACTGTGCTTATGGGAGATTCTAAAGAAAAATTGCAAAGGTTAGTGGATGAGTTTGGGAATGTGTGTAAAGGTAGAAAGTTGAAAGTGAACATAGAAAAGAGTAAGGTGATGAGGGTATCAAATGACTCAGATAAAGAAAAATTGTATATCAAATTGGGGAGGAGTAGTATGGAAGAAGTGAATGTTTTCAGATATTTGGGAGTTGATGTGTCAGCAGATGGATTTATGAAGGATGAGGTTAATCATAGAATTGATGAAGGAAAAAAGGCGAGTGGTGCATTGAGGTATATGTGGAGACGAAAAGCGTTATCTATGAAGGCAAAGAAGGGAATGTATGAAAGTATAGTAGTACCAACACCCTTATATGGGTGTGAAGCTTGGGTTGTAAATGCTGCAGCGAGGAGGCGGTTGGAGGCAGTGGAGATGTCCTGTCTAAGGGCAATGTGTGGTGTGAATATTATACAGAAAATTCAGATTGTGGAAATTAGGAGAAGGTGTGGAGTTAATAAAAGTATTAGTCAGAGGGCTGAAGAGGGGTTGTTGAGGTGGTTTGATCATTTAGAGAGAATGGATCAAAGTAAAATGACATGGAGAGTGTATAAATCTGTAGGGGAAATAAGGCGGGGTATGGGTCGTCCTCAAAAAGGTTGGAGGGAGGGGGTAAAGGAGGTTTTGTGGGTGAGGGGTTTGGACTTCCAGCAAGCGTGCGTGAGGGTGTTAGATAGGAGTAAATGGAGACGAATGGTATTTGGGACCTGACGAGCTGTTGGAGTGTGAGCAGGGTAATATTTAGTGAAGGGATTCAGGGAAACCGGTTATTTTTACATAGCCGGACTTGAGTCCTGGAAACGGGAAGTACAGTGCCTGCACATTAAAGAAGGGGTTTGGGATTTGGCAGTTTGGAGAGATATGTTGTGTATCTTTATACGTATATGCTTCTAAACTGTCGTAGTTTGGGCACCTCTGCAAAAACAGTGATTATGTGTGAGTGAGGTGAAAGTGTTGAATGATGATGAAAGTATTTTCTTTTTGGGAATTTTCTTTCTTTTTTGGGTCGCCCTGCCTCGGTGGGAGACGGCCGGCTTGTTGAGAGAAAAAAAAACCATAATTATCAAAGCATTTATAAAACATAAAATAACTTTAAAACAATTGAAATTTTGGAAAGTTTCCAGACATAATGGAGAGACGTGATGCTCAGGGAGAATGTAAACAAACCAGGCAGGGTGTGGTGACCGTATTAGAGAGTCAGGTGGGGGGAGCCGTTTAGCGAGTTTTGATCATAATTTGAAATGTCTCTATTAGCGGAATGCCGTAAGACAAAATGCCCGAAATGCCCCAGCATGATAGTGGATTTCTTTGTACTTAACAAATTAAATTTGTAATTACACATTGTAACCTTTGCAAATAAAATGTTTATCTTTAAAATCTTAAGTAGACTTGCCTCATTTTATGTTGATTTCTTATGTGGGAATTTTCTTTGTGCAAGGTAAATTCACTCTTATGTGCTCAAGAAACCATGGTAGAGTACAATGTTCGTGCAGGTGAATACATTATGCTAGACTAAATCAGGTACTTTGCTGATCACATCTTTTAAGTCATGACTAAGCCACAATACAAAACAGTAACTGAGAGGAGGGAAGAAAAAGAAGACTATCCAGACTGATAATCCTGAAGGACTAATAACCAGTGGAAGTGTGGAGAAAGTATAAAAAGACACAATAGTTTATTTCTCCTTGTGCAGGTTATTTGTGTACAGTAGAAGAGGTTTAATTCCACTGGCTTCCTTCTTAGGTCCTCACTAAGAAGTGACCCACAAAAACTAACTCTAAGATGTATGTATACATTTTACTATTATCTCATAGGGGTAGTAAGTGCTAGGAAACTTGGCTAAAATTTTCTCCCCACCCAATATTGTAGCTCAGGACTTTTCAACTGTGAGCCACACGCACTACCACTGCACTACAAGATACAATGATAGGTTATGTGTATCCACTAGTCTGATGCAATTATGAAATGGAATGTACGACTGAAATTTGTTTTTCTACATGTATTCTATTCATGTCAAATACTGTACACCATACAAGAGACTGTACACCTTACATACAGACTGTATACCTTACATACAATAAAAGTAAGTCACTGTGCCTCATTTTTTTTGGGTTATCCTAGGTTCTA